GTGCCTCTGGTAAAGATTTATAGCATGTAGAGCTTTGCAATACCATTGGTTAGGTGTGGAAATATTCTAGCATTTATGAAAATAATATTTATGTAATCTCAAAATATTCTCATTTCTTAGAATAGTATGTTATGGACAGTTTTAAACATAGTCAACAGCAACCAACATAATGAACCCCCATCTGCCATCAATAAGCCTGAAGAATTATCAACAATGACCAACTCATGACCAATTCTGCTTTACATTTTTCTATTACCCTCAAAACTAGACCCATTTAAAGTAATTCTTAGGGTGTCTGGGTGGCTCAGTAGGTTAGGCATCTGACTTTGGCTCAGGTCATGATCTCATAGTTCATGAGTTCGAGCCCTGTGTTGAGCTCTGTGCTGACAGCTCAGAGCCTGGAGCCTGTTTCGGATTCCATGTCTGCCTCTCTCTCTGCTCCTTCCCAAATCATGCTCGCTCGCTCTCTCTCTCTCTCTCTCAAAAATAAACATTAAAAAAAAGAAAAAATACTAAAGTAACTCTCAGACACCATGTCATTTAATTGGCAAGTATTTTAGTATAATTCTCTAAGATATAAGAACTTAAAAACACGTCCACAGTACCTTTATCACACATAATTTTTATCAATAATAACTCCTTCATTTCATCAGCTATCCAGATTTTAAATTATATTAGTTAAGTGGCAATTTTTAGACTTCATTAAACAAATAAGGATCCACGCCATGTCCACATATTTAACTGATTTCTATGTCTCTTACATCTCTTTGAATCTGCAGGCTACCCTTGCATTTTTATGTTGAAGAAATCAGGCCATTTGCTCCACGCGGTTTCCCGCACACTGGATCTTGCAGAGCGTATCCCCATGGTTTGCTTCATCATGTTCCTCGGTCCCCCGTCCCTGTTAATTAGCGGTTGGCTCGGGAAACTTCATTACATTAAGGTTTTCTCTTTCCCTTCCCCTCCCCCCTCCTTCCCCATCTTTCCTTCTTGGCAAGAACACTCGACGGGCATCTTGCCTGTGTCTCTTTCTGCAGCGTTAGCAGATACTCCCTGCCTTGATTCATTACTTCCCAGGAGCTGCAGGAAGGGGCTGCTCTAATTCTGCCATCTGTCTTTCCAGTTATTTGTAGCGGGACCGCTCTCGCCTCCGCGAGTCGGGCGGCCTAGGCAGGACCGGCATCTCGAGACACCAAGCCCTTCTGGCTGAGTGTCCAGCAAGTCTCGCTACCTGCTTACGTGTAATCGTGTGACTTTAGGAGCCCTCTACCCACTCCCTCGCCTAGGCGACCTGCTTCATTTCAACACACTTTGTCTTCCTTTCCATCATGCTCTGGCAAGCTACTTTTAAAGCACCTAAGCGTTATTGGTTTTGTGTGTTCGCGTTGCCCCCTGGCTTCTCCGTCAAGTTCTCTCATTGTTGGTGGCGAGGTTCTCGTTCGCTCTTCTCCCCTTTCCAAACACACAATTGCATCTGGAAGGAGCAATGTCTTTGCCTCTCTCTTCCACTTTCCACAGTCAGGAAGGGGACTGCTTTCTCCTCTCCGACATCACTGGCGCTGTGATGTGCAAGGGACAGCCTTGTCTGGCTCACTACCTTTCTGTTTATTGAGCATTCCACACTTGGGATTGACTGGCTGCGTGATGTCGAAGAGTCGCCTGGAGGGGCTTCTTCCCCAGTGTGTGAGGAGATATTTTTACAGAGCGAGAGAGGAATTTCACATGATAAAGGAGAGGAGGGTTTATAAAATTCAGGATTACATAACAGAGAGTGAGCTGGCAATACTGTCATTATTTAAATAATGAGGGTGGTAGATTCAGATCCTCCTGAATTATACTTCGGGACTCCAATTATTTATACGACCTCCTTCTCCTGATGCATCAAACTACTGCCGAGTTTCTATACATATTATGCCGTATGTATATAATTTTGTATATATAGTACATATATAATACATAAATATATAAATGGATAACCATGCAGAATATAGAGTTTTATATATATATATATATATATTTACTTATATATATATATTTATGTATTTATATATATATAAATAAATATATAAACATATATATAAATACATATGTTCTATTTTTTCCTCTATATATGGTCTTTATTATAATATATAAAATAGTTCTAGTAGAAACGATTCATTAAAAGTCAAAGAAAACAGGATTAGCATTTCCTATTAACTGAAATAAATTCGTATCTAAGGAACCACGAAGGCCCATCTTTTAGAGCTGCCTGGGGACACTGAGGTTGGAGATGCTGAGGTTTTGAAATGCTTTTTAGTATCTCCTCCGATTGTTCCTGTTCTAAACATTTGTCAGGCTGCTTATGGAGGAACAATTGACATACATACATTTATTCCTGAGTAAGAAAACCGCTAGGAGATCCACTCTGAAGATGTCTTCTTTTGAATTTATTCTTAAGATTTCAATTGAAAACATATTTACTAAGTCTCTGTTATATACAAAACGCTGTACCAGACACAGTTTCAATGCCGCAGGAGTTGACATTCTAGCAAATAGCTGATAGATGGGTCAAAAAGCTCAAAAGAGAATAAAATACATAGTTATAAAGGCACTAATATTCTTCCAGGTTTGATTCTGAACACAATATTGATTTGTTAAACATTTTGTTGAAAGTTTGCAATGGAATATAAAATGAAGAAGTTCACGTTGTCTTAGCAACTCAAGAATCTAGAATGTAGCATTCAAACCAAAGCTTTTAATATAAGTTCACATTCAGATTTAGAAATCTGCTAAATCCACTATGAGAAGAGATTTGAAATCATCACAAAGAAAATAATTTTATTCTTCTGAATGGCTCCTAGTTGCAGTTGTATACCACAGCCCAACAAACCTAGGAAAAAGGTACATTTTTCTAAAGAAAAAACTATTTTTTTTCCCTAACTTAAATCTAAGAATTGGTTTTGAGATTTTACCCAGCCGTGCCTCAAACTACCTCTTGGAATTTAATAGAGACTCATTCTTTAGATCTGAAAACATGCCGTGTCTTGCGATATGAAAATATCAGGCTACGAATACGTTCTAAAATAGGTAATTAAAATAGCTACCAGAAAGAAAACATAAGGGGTACATATAATTGTAGTAAAACAAATAAGTTTTAATAAGGAAACAACTTAAATACTTTGTACATCTCGGTCATCAGCACAGACTGGATGGATAACTATGTGGGGTGTAGAGAAGGGGGTTGGGAGTGTGGCCCCACAGAGACTGTGAGAGGACACCGCCCCACCTGTGGTTTCTGCATGTTGCTTACCAGGAGGTGGAGAAACCAAGGAGTGTCATTAAGGGACATGGCAGCTTGCATGTTTTCTAAGGCAAAAATGTCGAGAATCAATACCACCTCCAGACTGCGGTCAACTACTCGTGTTGAGAGATGCATCCCAGTCATGGCCTGTGGACCCACGATCTTACCAGTCAGTCCTTCAACTGCCCTGTTGCCCTGTGCATTGCTAGTCTCCTTACAGTAAGTGACGAATAAATAAAACCACAGTCCCCCTCTCCCTGCTTAGCCGTGGATACAGAAGTCCGAAAGGACAAGAAGGCTATGGTCTTATTTCATAGCAGACTTTTGTGAAGTTTTGTAAAGAATATGATTCATGGTGACTCACCCTGGATTAGGTGAGTCAACATGATTTAGTCTCTATTCACAAGATGCCGCACCAGTGTTTCGTGGGGGAAAAAATAAGGCTGAATTTTAAAAGGTTTTCAAGTGTTCCCATTTACAACAGTAAAAGTGGCCCTCCACGATTTCTTACACATGGACATGAGTTAGAAGAATGATGCCAGAACCTCTATGCCAGTAACCAGCTTAAACCCCACAGCTCTGTAAGTCTCTTGTAAAGGAGACCAAGGTTCGTTATAGATTTCTTCCTCTTGACCAAGACAGCTCACAGAATGGGGTTTCAAATTCACATCTGGTGTCATTAACCACCACATCATCTGCCTTGAGAAAATAAACCCAGGGGCACCTGGGTGGCTCAGTCAGTTGAGCGTCTGACTCTCGGTTTCGGCTCAGGTCGTGATCTCAGGGTTCGTGAGTTTGAGCCCCGGATGGGGTTCTATGCTGACGGTGCGGAGCCTGCTTGGGATTCTCTCTCTCCCTCTCTCTGTCCCTCCCTGACTCATGCACTCTCTCTCTAAATAAATAAACAAATAAACTTAAAGAAAAATAAACCTGAACAAATGACATAATTATTCAAAGCTCTCCCTAAACACGGCCCACTTGTGATTCTTCCCATGATGTAGCACAGCCTGGTTTTCTCTCTTTCCACCAATACCTCCTTATTGGTTTATCTCTCCTTCCCTGCTGCCCTGGATAAGTGCTCTTTCTACTCTCTTAACAACTAAAGTTTAGATATGCTTACTTTGAATTCATGAATCATACATTGCTAAGGAGATACTTAAAAAACAAGAAAAGACACTAGTACTTTTCAAAGTGCCCTAAATTGTAAGTGGATTAAAAACAATCAGTGCCTCTTTAATCTGTTTTTTTTTTTTGTTTGTTTGTTTGTTTTTACGAGTTTCTGACAGGCATATGTATGAATGTCACACAGAGCCAAACCTACAAGTAACAGTATTTAGCATGATGGAGTATTTCCATTCTGATTTTTGGCCAAGGTTTTTGAAGACCTTTGCCTTGATTCCACAAAGCGACACCCTCTGTCTCTCAAACCTTGTTGAAACAACATCTCTGTAAGTACAACTCAGCTCAACACTGTCTTTTAAAACAAGTACTTCAGTTTAAAAAAAAAAAAATCATGCCCGTTGTTTACATGTCACGCAAAGAGGATGGATACGCCCATGAACTAGGGATACAAATTTTAAAACAGGATAGCAAAGGCCTTATTTTAATTCTGTATTTGCAAGTAATCATGCAGATAGTCTCTACTGAATAAAGGAGTCAATTTATTAGCTGAAAAAAAAAACACATGAAAGTGATAAAGTTTCAAAAGAAATGCACTTACTTGTTCAAATTCATTCTTTTGAAATTCTTCAAAACCAAAGATGTCCAATATTCCAATATCCAACGTCTGTGTGCTGAAAGGAAACAGCGAATCAGTGACCCAGCACACGTAGAGCCCTTAAGTGACCCCTGGCCCCATCCCCCCTCCAGGTCAGAGACATCGGGACACTTTGCATATCACCTTCCAGTAGAACTAAAAACAGCCAACAATTATCTCAGAGTCTCATACAAAAGCTCTGAAAAAGAAAAGTGTTCTTTTAAGGCTTTAATTTAAACACAGATACAGGAGTACAACACACTGATTTCTAAGCTTAGGATGCGACGGTATATGGGTAGCCCCGTATTTGCTCCTCTGAAACAGTCTTTGTGTCTCTACTTCAACTGCACACGCTTTCCCTGGAAAGGAAGTCAACCTGCCGACGTGCCCTCAGCAGCTCCTCCTTCTCCTCCTTGTCTCTTGTTAGACCACACGAGCAGTAAGTCCCGCAGTTTGTTCATCACGTGTCAATGCGGTACAAGCCACGATGAAGCTGTGGGCACCTTCTCTGATAGACCGAACTGTGCCACGTCAAAACGTACAGAGCGACCTTCCTAAAGAAATCCTCATAAACAAAGAAGAACAAAGGAGATGATCCGTGGGCGTACAACTGGAAGAAAGCGGCGTGAGCACCTTACGATACTGCTGTTTTCGGTGAAAACTCTCTCTCCTGGAGTTTGCTGGCATCTTGGAAGGTCCAGCCACAGATGAGGAACCTCATGTGAGTGAAGAAAGCAGGGAGGAGAACCTAGGGGTGGTGGGAGCCCCGACATCCTGGACTCTGCAGGGAGCGGGGGCACCATGAGGACAGGGCATGAGGTGGCTTCTTACACAGAAAGCCCCGGATGATTCTGGAACGCTGGTCAGCAGGCGGCACATACCCAGACTTCCCACTGCCCTGCTCTGGAGTATCGTCAGGAGGACCGCTGTCCTGATTCTCTGCCAATGGCTGTGATATTTGATCATCGTGGATTGTTTCAATCCCTTAGTTGATGCACCTTCAACCACCTTAGTTGATTCACACGCTGGTGTTGTTTTCTGTCCACTTGACTGGTCCAAACCGCACAACTGGAAACTAACTTTCTTTTTGTGCCTGTATTTTGTTTGCACAATCAGTGCAGAACCGTCATGCTTTAGGGTCTGTAAGATGTCACTTAAATGACCAATTTCTCATAAAAAGGCAAGGTAATGATTCTATGATATCTTGTCTCTAGGATTAGTTCTTGTAGATGGTACCAATATGAGCTTCGTAAGCAGGAAAGACAGTATTTTAAAAGCCCTTAACACAAATTTCACACGGCAGAGAATATAAAGCAGCGAGGGAAAGAGACAGTCATTAAATGGATGTAACCAGGTCACTGATTTAACTTTCCAGAGGGAAAAATAGTTGGCTTTGTACCACACCCTATGTGTCCAGATAAACTCTGCCTGGATTAGAGAGATAAACGTTAGAGCAAGAAGCTCTGAAAACGTGCAAGTAAACAAAGGTGATCGTTTTTTCTGCTTTCGGTTCTGAGAGAAATCAAAAGAAAATGGTTAAAAGGACGATGACACAAATACCAGATTCTTTTGTATTTGTAGAAATAAAATTAAAAATGATTAGAGGAAAGTGTTATTTTAAAACGTATTTTCTCATTTATCTTCATAGATTTTTTTTTTCCTGATTGGTTGACCCACGTGTCCAGTCACACGTCATCTTGCCTCCTTCCACCCTGATGACTTTACAGTGTGACAGGGGGACACCGGGGTGATGCTCACTCAGTGGTGGTGGTGCTGAGGTGTAAGATGAGGTGCTGTGTTAGGGTGTGTGTGTGTGTGTGCACACGTTTCACATAATGAGCTGCACTGTTTCCGTTGTAGGCGCTGGGTGACAAGGGTGACAAAGCTTGCCAGTTTTGGAGATGTTCAGCCTTGGGTAGGAATCCTGGTTCAGACACTTTTTAGTTGGACAACTGTAGGCAAGTTACTAGAATTTTCTGTGCCACAGGCTCATCATCTATGAAACTAAGGCAGCGAGTATTATCTCTCCACCCAGATGGTTGTTACAATTGTCAATAAAATCCTAGGACAAGAGCCTGTAGACAGTGCGTCTCTAATCACTGCAAGTTGCTTTTAAAAAAACACTTCGGGGTGCCTGGGTGGCTCAGTCGGTTGAGCGTCCGACTCTTGATCTCGGCTCAGGTCGTGATCTCACAGTTTGTGAGGTTGAGCCCTGTGTCAGGCTCTGCATTGATGCCACTGAGCCTGCCTGAGATTCTCTCTCTCCCTCTCTCTTTGCCCCTTCCCTGCTTGTGCTTGTGTATGCTCTCACTCTCTCTCAAAATAAATAAAGTTAAAAAGAAAAAAAAAACTATTTCCACCTGCTATAAAAATGAACAGGAGGGCTCACAGAAGAAACATAAAGGGCTAATAGGTAGATCACAAATGTCAATCTCATTACAATTACAAAAGAAATAAAATTTTCAAAATTAGGATGAGAACGATATTCCCACACACTTTTGCTGGGAGCTTAAATTGGTAGAGTCTTAAATAACAATTGGTTACGTGGCATAAAGCTTTGGCACCCTCGTATCATTCGAACCAGGATTTCCATAGACAGGAGCCTATACTCAGATGATTATCAGAAATGCAACTAAAGACCTACAAACAAGGGTGCCCACCATTATCTTCATTATAGTAACAACAACGAAAAGAAGTAACAAAGACCCCACATAGAGACATGATTAGTTAAATAGCATGCATCCTCTCATGGGTTAATTTGGTGAATCTATCAAGTTAATAGAAAGCACTATGTAAGTTCTACATAAAGAATAAGGCCAATTATATATTCAGAAGACCTATGACCTCTTCAGCCCAAGAAGAGAAATGGAGATTCTTTTGTTTACTTCTTTTTATTGTTCTGCATTTTCTAAGGTTTTTATACTGAAATACTATTATTTTTATGACCAGTTAATATTTGATGTTTACAAAGACACTGCAAAAACACGGGAAATGTTCTTGAACAGCAATAAGCTATAAAACTAAAACTAAAAAACAAAAACAAAAACAAAAAAAAAAACCTAAGCTGGAAACAGAATTTATACCATTTGTATACTGAGCGCATCGTAGTATAATTTCACCCATGTTAAAAAGTAACTCTGGGGGCGCCTGGGTGGCGCAGTCGGTTAAGCGTCCGACTTCAGCCAGGTCACGATCTCGCGGTACGTGAGTGAGTTCGAGCCCCGCGTCGGGCTCTGGGCTGATGGCTCAGAGCCTGGAGCCTGTTTCCGATTCTGTGTCTCCCTCTCTCTCTGCCCCTCCCCCGTTCATGCTCTGTCTCTCTCTGTCCCAAAAACAAATAAACGTTGAAAAAAATTTAAAAAAAAAAAAAAAAAGTAAATCTGTGGCACAAAACAAGTAAAGCACCTGTTAGCAATAGATGTCTTCACTGGTAGGCCTACAGGTGATGTCTTAATTTTAAAATGTTTACTGGGGGCGCCTGGGGGGCTCCGTCGGTTAAGCATCCCACGTTTTGATTTCAGCTCAGGTCATGATCTCACGGTTCACGAGTTCAAGCCTTGCGTTGGGCTCTGTGCTGACAGCACGCGGAGCCTGCTTGGGATTCTCTCATTTTCCCTCTCTCTCTCTGCCCCTCCTCCACTCTCTCTTTCAAAATAAATAAACTAAAATAAATAAATAGAATGTTCTATACTGGATATTAGATTACTCATAATCATCAACTTTTATTAAAAATATATATCTGATGGAACACATTTTGGGCATTTTATGAGTTGGTGGAGGAAAGAACAACAATTACCTCAGGGCAGAGAGAGGGGTGGAGCCCAACAGTGAGGGCAGAGAAGGGCATCTGGCTTCCCAGGACGGGGAGAAGCAGCAGGGACCCCAGGGTCAGGGAGAGAGAGCAGGGCTGTGCTCTGAAGGCCACGTGTTGGTCTCCAGTGTGGATATTTCATGCCAACTTATACCAGAATCTCCCACTCAGGCCTTGACTCCTTGCCCGATTCCCCGCTGGCTTTGGCAACAGCGGTACCATATTTATAGTGCATGGTGTTGCGGGAGACTGGGAAAAAGGGCGAGAGCTATCAGTGACCCGATGTCACCATCTATGTCCTTCCCCTTCTCATAGGGAAGGTGACTTCCTGTTGGCATGCAGAGGAAGGATGTGGGGGCCACCCAGGTGTGTTTGGGCGAGCAAAATGTGTTAGAGATTCCAATTCAGCTTCAGGTCGGTAGATGATTAATTCGCAACTTAAGAGTAGCATAGATGTGGTTGAAAGAGCACTCCTTCTATAAGGGGTTTTCCCCATACTTCATAGATACTGGATTCCAAACTAAATTTGGCCGCAAAAGAAAAACATTATGAAAGAAAAAGATGGGAAGGAAGAAAAAAACCCAACTCGGGGCGGGGGGAATTAATGCATCTTAAGGATCCATTTTGCAACTACTGACAGATCTAATGTGTTCATTTTTTTTTCAAAAATCTATTTCAACCTTTATGATTGAATGAAATATGGGTCTGTTACTGCCATAGCAACGCAGGCAGAAAGGTCACAAGAACTTGTAGCCAGCAAAGTGCCCATGCCGCGTGGCAGTCAGCATTACTGTCATTTTTCTTATTGATATCTTGACTCATATTACACAGGCATTTAACCCAACATCCTATTTCTAGCCGGGAGGAGCAGACAGAGGTCATCTGATCCACCAGGATTCGATCCCACAGGCAGAATTAACATATTAATGAGATGGTCTCTTCACATTCAGCCTTAGGATTCTACTGAAGGCTTTCCCTACGGTTAACAAAACTGCCTCGCTTGCAGTAACTTATTAGTAAAATACAATCCCTTTTATATCAGAGGTGACATCAAATGCCAAGGCAATTGTCTGGTTTTGTTCTTGCCTTTCACGTGTGCAAGAATAGGAAGGGAGGAAGGTCCGGATTCAAGAAAATGTCTGCCCTGAAACATGGATGAACTAAGTTTATTTGGGCAGAGAGGTCCAGTGGTTTGCACAAGTCAGGTGCTGTCCTCGATCATCCCT